TAAACCTTCAAGTTAAACTTGCTCATGGAGTTATTTCTACTAGAGGTCAAGTTTTTGTTCAAATACAAATCCTTTGCTCCCTGTCTAATTGCCTGTTATGTGGTCTTGTTTGCTGTGGTATCAAATCAAAAAGTGGTATCGTACCACCTCTAGTAACGACCTTTGCAAGAAATAGCAAGGATTTTGAACATACTAAGTTGAAATAGTGCAGGGTGCTCAGTGGATGCTGAGAGCTCCCTAATTTGACTTACAAACTAGTGATTCGTTTTTATGGCGTGATGAATGTAGCGTTCCTCGAACATGAACATGTTTTTCTGCAGTTAGATTTGTCTTCTTTAGAAAACCAAACGCATCCCTTCTCTCGCCACATGGTGCAACACTGATTGAGTTAGGATTTTCGGCATCTTTGGCCTGTTTGCTTTTAATGAAGGGCATTTCTGCCACACAGCCTCGCTGATTGATCACCAGCTCCTAGTTGAACCACGTCAATTTGTTATGACTCTATTAATGAAGTAAGACTGATGCAGACGATACATGGCCGAGCGACCGGTAACCATGTGGCCCGTTTTTGACAGTTGTGTTTACCGCAATTTGAATTAATAGCGCGTGTAAATGTTTTGAGGGAGGTGGAGAAAATGTAGATTTGGAGTTTGACTGATTATAATGCGTGCCATCTGGAATGGGCTTGATATGCATTGTGACTATGAAATAAAGCAGTTCTCCCAAGCTAATGGAGCAGCGGCAAGAGCCTGAAGCTAGGTTAGAGGCTGACAGTGTGAGGGCTTGTTTATTTCATGTATTCTTATGAGCCTTTGTAAACAACATAAGTAAAACAATTTTGAGCATTTCTAACACAGCGCTTCACAAATCCTACCCACGGTCCAAAGCAACAGATGGGCATAAATTGGTCTGCAATCCAAAGTCCAGACACTTCTTCTGCAGATTTCTGCATTCATGTCAAAAAGGAACATTGCTCATTTGTTTCTGGCAATAAAACTTGTGTCTTTGACACAGAGTTTTTAATTTAATTTTATTTTTCCCCCACAGTAAATGCTAACGTCAATTTAAAGTGACTGTTACTTGAATCTCAGTCAAGCCTATTGATTTTAGCATATACATGTACATATTTTTATACTTGATAGACATTGTTGAGTAGAACTATGCAAGATTTTTTTTACAATAGAGACCCCTGACAGACGCTACATTTTCTCCTCTCTCACCTTCTTTTGTCTTTCGTCCATCTCTGGCTGTCTTATTCCCTTTTTGTTGCTTTTCTTCTTCCAAAGTGTTGCTAAATGGAATTCAAATGCTGAACCCAGAAACTTCGTTGACAGGTTGACATTTGTGTTCTTACTTGTGGATTTTATGCTAATTAAAAGCAGAGCGATTGACTGATATCTGTAACTCTGTAGCGTGCTGCAGTAGCATTAGGAAGCTGGATGTAGCCTAACCTTTCCCGGTCAATATATTCATGCACAGATGGAAACCGTTGGATGTGCTGGCACTGTTCAACTCCCACATCAATTCCACATCCATTAAATAACACAGTGAAAGTGCAGAGAGACACATCCCCCGTTGTTTGTCTGAACGAGTTTGTGTGCGCGTCTGAGGGGTGACGTATCTCAGCAGTGACACTTCATCAAGTGTGCAAGTTCCTGTTTAGAGAGAAGACATAACAGTTACAGAGTAAGAAGTTCTTTTGTTGGGTGGTTGTGTGAATCTTTCATGAGATGCTGCTATTCTAACATCAGCGGGTTTCGTTTACCTTGCGTCCTTGTTCACTTAGCTGTGTGTTTTTCCCTTGTTGGGCAGATTTTGACATTTTTTGTCCTCCCTTTATTCTTTTAATTAAGGTTGATTTTCTGGAACTAGAACTAGGGCTGTCTCTCAATAAAATTGATAATTCAAATATTTAGAATAACCGTTTACTGTTTATAACAACCCATTGAAGTCCATGGGGTTTGCTTTCCACACTGGACTCATCAAAGATGGAGATTTAGCGCACGCTGCGAGGCCATAGTATCTATTTAATCCCAGGTTCAGTCATAGAAGTTTCCTACTGCTTCGGATTGCTAGCTAACTATCATGTTTCAGTTGCTTTTGTTACAGAGAAAAAATGAGAACGTGCTGGCTAGCTAGCTATCCAGAGCTGTAAGAGAATTATTCTTAAGCTGTATGATAAAGCCGACCTGGCTGAGTTCAGTGTGTGCTCTGGTAGAAAGTGGTTTTGAGCACCATAAAGTTCATCACTCTCCTGCTAACTGACACGACGAAGACCTTCGTTAAAAAGACGCTATTTCCTACCCTGCTCACTGCTGTTCAAACACCCAGCAACTGCTGTGTTCAGATTTGCCACAATGACAAGAACCCTGATTTTAGTATTAATTTTAATACAAGTTGATATGGAAATTGCGATTTATCAGTGATGTTTTTTGTTGCATTTTAGTATTAAGCTTTATTAAAAAGCAAAGTATGTAAACAGAATTAATGCAGCAGAGCATGTTGATCTACTACTACAACTACTACTACTGCTGATAGCTAGTAACAAAAACAGCTTTTTCCTCCATTCGGTTATTAAACTGATATATATATATATATATATAAAACAGGCTAATCTGAGGAGCCTATTTGTCAAGTTATATATCTATTTTATATCTATAAGTTTTATATCTTGTTGGGGTCTTTGACTGGTTGAGCTGTAGTTGAATATACTCTAAAGCTGGGCATACACTGTGTGAGCTTAGAAATGTTGCTTACTTTACCTGATTACTTGCACTATAATGTCTATAATGCCCATCATGTACAAACAAAGCCTATGATTTTATGCTCACACTGTACAAAAACGATCTGTCTGATTGATATGCTATGTGAACACAGCCTCTACAGACAGCTCTGTCTAAGCACAATTTCCAACAAAGCTGTTTCATTCAAAATAACATGCTGCGCTCTGGAGTACTGAGCAGAAACATCGAGAAGCTGTGCTACAGCAGCTTTGCTAACTTGTGCCGCACTGTGCACTGAAACTAAAACTAGGCGATGATGTGCACGAGTAGAACAATATACTCTCTCTATAGTTTGTTGAACAGATACAGTTTTAAAAAAATCACTGTTATTAATGTTTATACCTTACAAATCTGTTCAGGCAAACAGAGAAAAGTCAGCATATTTGGTCTTTTGTGCTACAAATGTCGATTTTGACTCCATTTTACTCTGTCTTTACTAAAATTGAAGTGTGTGCCTGGCAGGAATCTGCCAAGGTGGAATGTTTAAAGTGACGAACAACTTTGCGTCTGACTGCCATGTTCTCAGCAGCATTTTACTGTGCAGGCAGTAAGCTTGAGTCGAGCACAGTAGGCGCACATCCCATGGTATCAGGTGGTATTGATTGTTGGTATCTGTTAGGGGTATAATGACGCACAAAAGTCATGGTTTGGTTCACAGCGTGGGTTGGACATCACTATTTGGTACAAGTTTGGTACAATGAGGGGGAAAAAAGGCAACACCACCACCCAGATGCATAAGGCTAGATTTCCTTTCATTTATTTTGGACAGACAGTAGCGCAAGTAACAGTTTGTTCCACCTTTTTTTTTGTATAGTCCCTAACTTTAGTTGGTACAGCCTGTAGTGTGTGTCATTTGCAATTGACGGGGAAAGTCACTAATGTTAACTAATTTGTGCAGCAATATTTAAGCTTCAGTGATTTTGTAGTTAGGAGCAGAGAAAACAGAAAAACTTCTAAGGCTTTGTGCTGAGTCTCTTCACAGGTTCCAAAAATGCTGCAGGCTGTGGACGGGGATAAGTCTCATTTCATTTAATTCCAGCTTGATTTTTTTTTTTTTTTAAATCCTTTTTAAAATCTCTCTTTAGTTAACTTGATAGCTGCCTTCGTCACCTCTCGCTCGCTGTTTAAAAACCTTAAACTCAGCCTCACAGCTGATCGGGGTTCAAGAGTTATGGAGCTGCTGCGGTTATGAGCCCTTGATAGACGCAATCATTTGGCGCTAGCTGCAGAGAAAGGGTTTTCCGTGGACTGCCGCTGTTAACTTGCTCATGGCTTACAGCTTAACGTTTCTGAGTGGAACTTGTACTTGTGAACTTTGGTTCCACATTAAGTTCATCAGTTTTTTTGCATACAATGTATTCTCTGTACGACTGCATACACTGAGCCATAATGTCCGAACATTGATGGTTCAGGATGAATACACATATCGTTATGCCCTTAGTATCTGTGCATTTTTATGAGTACAAGTAAATGAGTGTGTATTAGGCCGATACACAATACCAGTATCGGAATCGATGCATCCCTGTTTAGATGTTTTTTATTGCTACAGCTCATTCAGTCGCTCTATTGCTTGTTGATGTTACAATGAAATATTGTGCTCTCCCTCTCTGAATCACCCTCTTGCTTTCTCACCCTGGACTAAAGTAAACAAAAACCACTTGTTGGATCTGATTAGCATTAATGGAACGGTTTGGACAAGTTGTACTGCAACCATTTTGAATTCATTCGGCGAGCATATCCCCTGGTTGATGTGGAGCTGTTTGTTACCGCCATACACACATCCTTGCCAAGGCCCGCTGAGAAATCATTCGTTAACCTGCTGCAGGATTTCTCATGTTTGCTGTAGTGTTCTGGCATTAAGCAGCACTGCACACTTGTATAATACGTGCATCCTGAGCTGAAGTGCTTGTAAATGAGGCAGAGAAATCCCAGCTGCTTCCCTTTTTTTTTCTCCAGGGCGTTAAATGTAGAGGTACCTTATACATAAGGCTTATCTACTCATATCCTTGCCTATACGCTATGTCCCACGTGAAGTGTCTGACCACGCTTTTTCATTTCGTCATTTCATTCTATTTCAATTTGACCCATGTCAAGCGATTACTGCTATGAGGTTTGTTCTGTGTTTAGCATGGTATTTTGAAAATTTGCATTTACAGCTTGTTACCAGACTGATGAATCAATGTTCTAATCAAATCCACTCTCTCCCCTCCTTTGTAGCCCTTAAACATCCGAACCCTTACTGACGATGTGGTAAGATTTATTCAATTTTATGGCCCATTCACTAACAAGTTCTTTTCTTGCTTTTTTCTTTTCAAGTGTTAACTATTGCTGCATGTCTTATTTTTTGCCTACCAGCCAAACATAGAACCTGCTTACTAACTACTAAATTATCCATTGGGATGCTGTTGCATGATAACCTGGTTAACAGGTGTTTGCTTAAGCAGTGAGACAATGTTTAAAATATCCGGCTTTACACATTTTGAATAGTTTGCATTTAACCGCTAGTTTTTTCCTGAAAGGTCCCATATTGTTACTAATTAATTAATTTTTTTTATCTATTCATATGTTGAACTGCAGTACAGGTTAAGTCTTTTTCAGGTTTGTCTTATCTTTACTCTTGCTACATCAAACACAATGATCTCCTAGCGATCTCCTGCTGCTAAATACTACTATAAATAAGCTAATGTAAATACTAAGTGAGCCATGACTGTGAAATTAGAAAATTTGTGTATGAAATTGTTCAAAATTTCCAACGGCGTGTTAAGATTATTTATATGTAGTGTGTGGGCCTGTAGATTTAATATTTCGACATCTTTACATATGATATCCAACTCATTTATAGTCAAAAGGGCAAGTAAATCCACATTTTTCGCAATATGGGACCTAATAATGCATGTCTTGTGACTTGCAATATAATTTATACTCTCGTTCATATTTTTTGAAGGAAGGTGTCCATCTATAGTATATAGTATTGACTTTATCTGTTTTACAAGCATGAGCACTGTTTAAAAAATAAAGTACTGCTTTGCTGCCACAGAATGTTCTGAAGGTATAACTCATGAAATGGCGCTTTTGAAGCTATGAAGCAGGTACTCCAGTGGTTTGATGAAAATCTGTGTGACAGTTACGGTTGTATCGTATTGTATTGTTCTGTGTGACTAGCATGGTACTTTGTAGCGAGATAGTCATAATTCTTTTTACATTACCAATTTTCTAACCTCTCTATATTCCTTAGAATAATATGGGCTGCTTTTTGTTGCAGTGTATTTAAGACCGATGAATGTAAATGAGCTCTGCTCTGACTGGCTGGCCTGTATTGCATATCATTCAAAAAGCAGTCCAGATTGAAACACTATAATTGTTACATGAAGAGAGGAGACTAAACTGCTGTAAGAGTGCGACATCACAAAAACAATTATTTCAAGTCAGAGAACATACTTGAACTGATATAAGGATTGGCTACACATTAAAAGAAACACACTAAAAGAACTTGGATTACAAGACAAATGTGATTAGTGCATCTCAAAGCTGCAGCTGGCACGTTTTCTGACATTTAAATCGTCCATCTTGATTGGCAGTTTTGATGGACGCAATCTATCGTCGATTCACAAAGCTATCAGCGAACGGCTCAAGGTAGCTTTGTGTAACATTTGAGCAATTGTTTTTTGATTGGTCTAACATTTATTGAGTGGTGGACTCAAAATTGTGCAGTTGCTCAGAATAAGAGCTACTCTGTGCTCACAGATACAGACATCACTCGTTAGTAAAGGAATATGCGAAGTATTTAGTATAAAGTTTGTGTTGAGCAGCAAGATAATAAGGAACACATACTGAATTAAAAACAGGGGCGCAACATGGCAGAACCACAGAGAGAAAACTTGAGTGCATTAAGAGTATGGTATGAGAAAAGCAACTTCTGGTTATTGTAACCCTCATTAGACTGAAGTGTCTGCCTGAGGGAAGCTGGTTTTTATTAGGCCCCCCTTTAAAAAAAAAAACAAACAAAAAAACCCCACCACATTATTATAGAGGTGATGATGACAGACACTGTGATTTCTGTTTATAACAGAACTAGGGCTGAAAGATGGATCAGTTTTATATTGAAATCGCAATTTGAGCAAAAGAGTGCGAATTTCAAATCATAAGAGCTTCAATTTCAACCATACTTTATCAACAACATGGCCTTAACAGGATGAGGTGTTAGGGTGGGGACAGATGAGTTAGAAAGTTAGAAACAACCAAACATTTTTTGAAATGATTTTTTATTATTTGCACAAGAAGGTACAGTAAATACAAACAAAAGAGAGAGAATGTGCAGGCAAAGTAACAAGACCCACAAAGTGCTTGTACGAAGTACTTGTCCTCAATGGGGAAAAAAAAATTGGATTAAATAAATAACCCAGACAAAATCACAAAAAAAAATTCTGTGTTTTACATTTTAGAGGGAGAGTAGATGAGTTTTAATCTGTTTTTTGAAGCTGATATTTTTTAGATGAGGTGGTAGACAGTTCCAAATTGAAAGCCCTCAATGAGAAAGTGACATACTAAAGAAAACTGTGTGGAGGTTGTTAGAAGATCTTGTGGAGTGAAGATGAACATGAAAGTTGTATTGAAAACTTTTCAAAGGCAATCAGGAAGAAGATGGTGTGAAGAAAAAAAAAATAAACTGACATATTTGAAAATGGTTAATTTTATACATACTAAGTATTTGAAGGTTTTAGAAAAGTGCCGTGTACATGACAACCAGGCAGTATGGCACTCTGCGTTCAGCGTTCAAGCCTCAAGCATAAAAGGGGATAAGCTGGAGTTCTTGGCCAATAAAAGGCCTAGACCTAAATTTATAGAAAAGGGATTGCAATTTATATAGCAGTTGTAATATTTGTCAAAAAATCAGTTAGATACTTTCTCCAAAATGTTCAGCTCTAAAATGTTCCACTAGCCTCTTTGTACTTGAACTTTTTCAACTGGCATAGGAAGTACATCCACTGCTGGGCTTTTGCACTGGAGTAAATTAGTGGTCACCAACACTCCTTCCTGTAGGTTTCACCTCCAAACCAAATCTAACACACCTGTTGCATCTAATGAAGATCTTCTAAAGACAATAATCAGGTGGATCAGATAGTCAATTAGGGTTGGACCTAAACTCTACAGGTTCTGTAGAGTTTGACAGCACAGTCATCTCTAAGGGGTGAGACTGTTAACAGAGTTTATAACATACAATGGCAATCAAACTGTGCCATGTTTTAATAAATCTTAAAACCATGTACGATATTAACATTTTTCACAGTAGAAGGAAGTAGCTTAGTCTCCCTATCATGCCCCTATACAAGGCATATTTCTATAGCTATAATCTAAAGTATACAGTAATGGTGCTGGTGATAATCTCATACATATAATTTTTATATATAGAATTTCTCCTGCCTCACTTGCTTCTTCCTATTTGTAGGAAAGTTGATTATCCGCTGGCAGGTGGAGGCAGACGTGTTGATTTAGGAGAGTTTCTTGTGGAGCAATTGCAGGATAATATTTCTGAACACCCAGCTAAACTCTGAAAATAAGGTTCTTGTGCAGGTCCTTGGAAAATTGAAGTGTTAAAGGTTAAAGGATAAGGTGCAAGCCCATGCTGATGGCAACAACAGGCTATTGGCAGTATGCAAACTGCAGAGGTTCCAGACAAGGCAAGGTAATATCAGTCAGGTGTGATAACACCAGTATCTCAGAGGATTTTTAGGATTGCAGAGGTCAAGCCAATGACTCTGCAGTCACTGTGATGATACTGTGATGGTTGTTTTTTATGGTGTATTATTATGAGGCTTTTGAAGCCACGAAGCAGGTACTTTGCATAACTCCATTGGGGATTGGGACACTTTTAAGCATGATTTTTTGTTTCAAATGTTCTTTTATAATGTTGAATGCTCTAATAAACTGAAAATGAAAATATTAACCTGTTAATTTAAGGTAATTTTTTAAGCTCCTTTAGCTGACAGGGGTAAACGGCTGCAAGAACAGATGAAAATCTGTTGCTTTTCATAAGGTTGCAAATATGAGTTAAAAAAAAGTGGGAGATTCAGTTTTACCAAGTCAAGTCAAGTCAAGTCAAGAGGCTTTTATTGTCATTCCATCTATGTACAAGTACACAGTGGAGCAAAATTACGTTCCTCCATGAACAAGGTGCAACAAGGAACAAAAAGTACAAAAGTACAAAATTACAAAGTGCGAACGTGCAGACAGTGTGCAAACAAAAATTAAGCTAGAAACAATACAATAAATACGATAAACCAACATTAGGCACAGTAAACAGACCGGACAGTGTAGCACCGACACAGCACAGATTTCTGGACATGAAGTAGTGGAATAAGGTGCAGACATATTTAAAATAATGTGATCTGTAAGTTACGTCAGATAACATACATATACACAGCAGTTACTGAGGTAGTAAAACAGTTACTGAGGTAGTGAAAACAGTGTAAACACAGTATTGGCAACAATGTTCCAGATAGATAGTGCAAGTAGAGCATCACCATGTGCTCTTTAAATGAAGGTACAGCTGGCCGACTGAATAGCAGTCAGAATGGTGCGAAGGGGTAATGGTTTGTGTACTATTATTTGCACAGAGTGAGATTACAGTTAGCAAACATTTTTCCAACAACAGTGCTAGCTGCTTAAATCAAACTTTATTAGTATAATGTCCTTTGAGTGTAATTGTGACGGACTGGTGGGCTGGGGGTGGGGCAGTCTAACTATCAATACAATCTAGAGTCATCAGAGCTCCAGCAGGCTATTAGTAGTTAATAATAATTAGTAGTTAAATTATTATTATTATTATTATTATTATAATAATTGTTAGGATAAGAAATGGATTAAAACAGAAGGCTGTTTAATTTACTGATCTGTTCATTGGAGAATAATTTGTGTGTATAAGATGTTTAAGTGAAATTCACTTTGGAGTCAAACCAGCATAGAGCAGAATGTTTGGTGTGTGTTTCATACAAGCTTGGAATGGAATAAACAGCTGATGGTGCTCATGATAGAACTTTCCCAGCTGATACAAGAATCAGCATTATTAGAAGTTCCTGATTTGATAAACAAATTTGTGAGAGAACAATGGTGGGGTTGTCCCTTTAATTTGTGAGTGGGACTACAGTTCTCTTGAACATATTAATATTGAATTTTGGTACTGCAGTCTTTCTTCTATTGCATTCATAATCCAGTAGTCCAGTGTTTTTTCCACAGGTCTGAAATAAACCATAGGAACGAATGGAGTTTGTTTCAAAATGGATATCTGAACTCAGCACAGCATTTGTTTACTTATTCAGGTATTCAACTAAGGCACATTTTTTGTTTCATGTGAAGCACCTTGTGGACCTGACTCAGTGTTTAAGAGTAGTTTATGTCCAAGTGTGGCTTATGAGTAGGAAATACTCTAGTGAGTGTTCTGTCATTCTCCTCTCTTCATAGAAACAGGTCAGAGCTTGAGCTAGATTGAAGGGGCCATATGAAACAAATTCAAAGAATAAGACTGAATGTAGAGAGATGAAATCCAATAAAAGTATTGGATGTGACTTGAAAATCTGTCAGCATAAGGGCGTACCAAACCCAGTCAGAAATAAATTCAGAGTCTAGAAAGCAAATGTGACTGACTGCTTATTTTTAGCTGGAACCTTTCTGCACGAAGGAAAATGTAACAGACAGAGACTAAATGAAGTGCTGTCTGCTGTTCAGCGTAAAACTTTATTAAACTTGGGTATACATGGTATCAAACCTCACCAGTTGGACCTGTATCCTTAAGCAGTATTTGAAGGTAATGAAATATTTTGAGCATGGGACTATGGGTAGATGAGCCAGTTCATTTAAGCAGCACCAGGTCTGCTTATCGATGGAATTCAATGGCTATTTCTCACTCGCGCTGCAATTGGCAGCACCACTGGTGTTTAGCATTGCGGTCATCTTCATCCCTCTTTCTGCCTCATTTCATTCCTCTCGCTTTCCTCTCTCCTATCCGATATGCTCTTACTATTTGTCTCCTTTATCAGTTTTCCCCCTCCACTCTTCTCACTTTTAATCCCACACCTATTGAACCCTCTCTTATTTTCTCTTTCTGCTGTCCTTTTTCCCTGTTTTCTTAAAAGTCGTGTTGTTGCTCTTGTGGCATCGATTGGCATAAAAATGTGTTTTTGTTTGTGTTTGTTTGGTATTGATTCAGACGATCTCTTGATGCTAGAGGGGGAGTAGACACTGGAATAAGTTAATCAGCATTATTATGTGTTGGGCTTTGTTGGAGCACACATTCTTAAGCCAAAGATTTGGTTTTAGACAGATAGCCAGGCACACAAATGGATGAATAGATTGACTGTTGGCTGTGGTGGCTAAATCCATGACTAGATGGATACATTGCTTGATCGAAGTAAGTTCAGTATTTCCTGGCAGTAAATGACAGCCGTTATGATTTTGGATGAGTCCAGGGTGTATTCTAGGGTATATTCTCAGGTGTGTTTGATGTTTTTGAAATAATGGAGAGGATTTTTGAGAAATATGGCAAGGGATGGTTGACTATGGTAGAAATGTTTTTGAAGGTGAGGGCAGAATTACTTAAGAGGTGCCTGATGGAGGGAATAGAAGGAATGAAGAGAATGGAGCCATTAGTAACAGCATCAAAGGCTAGGCTCTCTCACAGAGGGAAAAGGGGGAGAGGGATATTGTGGGTGAGTGAGCTGCAGCCGCATAAACACCTAAACAACCCTGAAAAGCACTTCATCATCTGGCTCAGCCCATGTCAGGTGTGGTATGATGTCTGCTGTTGTTATCAGGGTGCCAGCTTCCCATATTTATTTATCTATTCTCTGGTAACGAGGGCTGAATAGCAAACTGCCTCTGTCCTCCGTTGGGGACGAAACACTGTGATTAAACTGATCAGTGCCATCAGTCAAAGTTGTGATGTGTGCTTTAGGGCAGCTGCAAACCAAATTAGACTGACGATCGTGTCGTCTGGTATCAGACGTCACACTCCCCATCCCTTGCTTCTCACTCTGCGAAAGTTACACGCCCTCGTCCTTTGCTTCTTCAAATGTCTTTAATTAATTTCGCATCACTGTCACTGCTGATTATCTGCGTGCAGAACTCTCTTGCTTAGTCAGATAACACACAATGGGTGGCCTCCATGAAAATATCCTTGAAGATAAGTGTTGGTAATTTACCCTGCTCCGAAAGAAGAAAGGGGCAAGCGCCTGAAAATAAACCACCTATCTTATCACCTAGCAGTGACATCTCAATCCCTAACTCCCTGCAGCCACCACTGGGGGGAATGAGAGAGCAAACAGCTCCCTGACAAATCTAATCTAATTAGGAAATCATTATCTATGTGATGCGGGCGCCCACCCCCCTCAGTATAAATCAATGCAGGGTTGCAGGGACACTGCAGATGCTGTGGCTCTCTGTCAGGCATGCCAATTGAAACATCTTAGATGATTTAGTATACTGTAGAACTTTTGATTAAAGTTTGCCACAACTATAGAGAAAAGAGATGCTGTGAATGTTTTTACGACATTAGGTTTGGCAATTATTCATCATGTTTGGATTTGATGAAGACTCACTATTAAGAACAGTAATAATGCTAATGACTGTACATTAGGGCTGTGTAGAAAAATGTAATTGAAAGTAATGGTAATCATCATTGAGGACACCCTTTATTATCCCTGTAAAGATTGTTTATGTGCGTTTTGCTCTGTGGTGTGAACTCAAAAGTACAGTCAGACTTTGTATTCTTTTTCTTTTTATTGACGATTGATGATTGACATGTTCTGGTTTGTTGTTGTTGTTGTTCTTAGCTGGACAGGTTTGCGAGTATCCGCATCCCAGGCAGTAAGAAGGAGCGGCCAAACCTTTCCCACATGACCAAGCACTCCTCCACCAGCGACTGGTCTTCTTCCTTGGAGTTTGAGGAGCTCTCATCCAAGATCACCACAGAGAAGGAGATCCTTGCCCTCTTTGAAAAGATGATGGTAAGCTTGGTGGCCTAGATAATGTGATGGACAAATCTGGTGTGATGTGCTTTGTCTGAAACAGCCGAAAGGTGCTATTGGAAAATGTGACTTTCATTGTTCCTTTGATAAGAACATGTCCAGTTGAGTGTTGCGAGGTGTAAGAGTAATATGTTTTTCTATGCTGTTTGAAAATTATGATGTTATGTCTTCCTCATAAACTACCAAACAAATACATTTCCAGTGCAGTTTTTATTTCACATAATTAAGTACGATGTTCAGCCCCTCTTCCACCCTGAAAAAAAAGCGATCAGCTTAAAAAAAAAAAATAAAAAAACTGACCCTTCTTCTGTTTTGACTTCTTCCAGTGTTATTTTCTGTTAGTTTCTATCTTCTTTACAAAGTTTTGTTTCATCAGTTGGTGAAAGGAATGAAAACTCCAGATACATCAGTTTTGTTTCTAATAGCATGACAGCACCGCCCACCCCCCAAACCAAAGTAATATTTGGGGACTGTTTGTTGGTATGAAACAAGTGGATACTGCCCAGTCCTTGTACAGTGTCACGAAAGATCAGACACATTCTGCTAATCTAGTGACCCCTATCACCTGCAATTACTATCCATGGAATTAATTTTAATAATGCTCATGTTTTTAAACCTTTAATCAGATAGAGTTTGTTATGGGTCAGTAATCATAATCACGTGACTTGTTACTCATTAAAGCCTAAATTTGCCGTGATGAAAGCACAACACCCATTTTGTTAAAAGATTTTCACCTTTTTAAAGTTATTTGGAAGCTGTAATGTCAGTCTGTGGTTATGGCTTATTGCTTCATGTGTATTTACTATCTCTGACTTTTAGTGGTTCTCTCTGTTTGTACAGGCTGCACTCATCCTTAAACATCCAGTGAATATCAGCAGCTGTGTTAATGGACTGAAATATCAGAAGAGATTAGGGAAACGTGTCTCTCTCTCTCTCTCTCTCTTGCTCACACATACACACAAGCTTACTTGTGTATGCACATCAAACATGATTTTTCTCTGCCAATAGTGCAGGACAAATCTGGCATAACTTGGCTAGTTTTCAATGAGCGGGTGTCCTTCGAGAAGGATAATGGCCGATTTAGCCATGGCCAAAATATAAAATGCTGCTCCATTATGAAAAATTTTGCACTGCCACTGCAAGAAATTGACTTTGACAAATTGGCTATATTCAGGTGTAAAGAGCAAATGTTTTCTGGTGTGTAAATTTAGTACCATTGACGTGCTGAATTTTCAAATGTTCACATATGTTTTTCTTTATTTTGGACAAACACTGCTGTTCAAAAGTTTGTAATCATTTTCAATAACATAAAACCAATTTTGTTGCAGATACATGTATAAAACTTTTTCAGAAGAAATGTTCTTTTTTTATATAATTTTATTTATATTATTTTATTTATTTTATGTTATATTTTTATTAAGACACTTGTCAGGTAACAGTTCACAGATACAAATGCATTTGGAAGGGACATGGGAGGGACCATGTGAGTGGAAAATCTATGAATGATTATACAACCAAAAAAAACATGGATAAGTACAAAATTAAGATAAATTATCAATATAATTCCAAAGAGGAAACCATATTTGCCAATATTTTTCTGTCTTTTGGTGTAAATCAAAAGTTAACTTCTCAAGAGTAGGTAAAGATGTTATTTGAGAAAACCACAGATTGAGAGATGGGACCTAAGAAGACCAGAGAAGTAAAATACATTTTTTTATTTTTTTTGCAATATAAACCAGCAGAATAAATATCTGTCTAGCAGTATAGTGAAATGTATCTTCCAACAGGCCAAAGAGTAAATATAATTCAGAAGAAATTTTCAATGATTAATGCATCTGTAGATTCCGTAGTCATTGAGAGAGTAGTATGAAAATCTGTCTTGCTGACCAAATAACTATTCATGGTTTTTAGGTCAAGAAACTACTATGAATGGTTTATCGTTCATAGCTTTTTACTAAGTGAAAAAATTCTCTTTATTCCCATTATTTTTTAAGCTATAAGTAAACTCACAGTTTACATTTTAGCCTCTACTATTACTATTATGACATGATTTCAACCTTTTCAACAGAAGTGTGTATAGTGTAAATGTACTAGACTTGGCTCGTCATGCTTGAACAAAACATTTCTTAAGAACTCTGCTTTTGCAGTAAGCCATTTGAACCACAGGAATATTTAATCAAATTTCAATGTTATCTTCTTGCTTGCATACATTTCCTGCTGTTTGGGTGCATATGGTAAGCAGCCCCTGCAAGTGCGAGGGCATTTAGTACATCCGTAGGTGTGTTTGTCACATTGCAGAGCGCCGGATTGAGTGACAGGAGCAAGAGCTGTTGGGAAGTGAGGATGAGTGTGGGTACCGTGGGTAGAGACGAAGTCATTAGTTATGGCGAGCGAGGCTTAGGATTCATGAGCATGCCAGCTGAGGTGACAGGGCCAATGGCAGTAATGGATGCTTCTCCTTTCTGCACCGTGCCTTACTCCATGCCACGCTTACCCCAGCCTCCCCCGACATGCAGGGACAGCTGCCCAACCGTGCGCCCATGACAAATCTTAAACAGGTTTGCTTATATATCATATCACTAAGGGGATGAAAGGGGGAAGGTTGAAGGCAAAGAAACCAAGTGAGGGAGACTTGCAAGAATTATATTAAACTGGTCGCCCTCTCTCTTTTCTATGATTAGCCTATATATTTTTGTTTGTGTAATGCCACGTGATTCCCTCCGCTCACGCCATCTGCTGAACATTGTTGGAGACGTCCCAAGGACGCGCTCTGTTTCTCTCCCTGTCTGTCATAGCTTCCCCTAGAGTCGCCGCGTTTGAAAAGTGTTGTGCGCATTGGCTCAGTATGTTAAAAAAAAGTGTTACTCCTATAAATTGACATCATGGATTAAAAGTTGACTAGAATAAAAGCTGTCCTAGAAGCTTGTGAAGAGAGTTAATGTTTAAGGGTGAGACATATGACTGTATTTATCATGATGGTGATAAATTACATCACAGTATGCTTTTCTGAGTATATCATGAATATCGTCAGAACCTTGACCAACTGCATGTTTTGTTACAAAGAGTGTAGTCCTGTTTAGTTGGGTTTATGCAGCACAGTATGGAAAATGTTTACGTTCTTGATGGTATTTTTTTAAATGTGGCAGTTTTGTCTGATTCAACCATTGATTATGCATATTGTTAGGGATATGCTGATATTAAAAATTTAAATCAAAACTATTACCTAACTTTTTATCACGGTTTACAATATTATAATATAAAAAAAATCAAATATGCTTTAAATGTCATTAAGATGTATTTTAAGATTTATGTTTACAATAAAATAATCAATAAAAACAAAAAAAGTAACGATCAATCTAAAGGTGTCCCACATAATATTGTATGATGGTGTTTAATGTGGAAACTTTGACTTTATTAGTAACCTTCAGCACTATTTGGACAGGATTAGTTTTACATGGTGAAGTGTGGTAGTTTATCATGGGACGTCTGTAATCTTGACTAATTCGCACGGGATAAGAAATGCCCTAAACGTCTGTCTTGTTGTAAAGTGAATGCAGTGTGTCATTAGTTTTGTTATTAGCTTCAACATTTACAGGCAACAACGAGTATCACTGCATAAAATAAAACTATTTATCTGTAATTTTTTACATTTTGATGTACTGAGTTGTACTCTTGAAGTAGGACAGTGTGGCTTGATTTTAGCCACAGAGTACACAAGTAAACGCTTCTTCGAGTGCTTCCATATTTGAGGCACTCCTTTTCCACAGAATATGATGTTTTTTTATGCATATTTGAACAAGATTAACATAACCTAAGGTTATTTGTGCGTTTGTTTTATAGAAGGTAAAAAGCCTTGGAATCATTACTCCAGGTGCGTGTGAAAATTATTGACATGCCACATTCGGATGGGACTAAAATCACTGAGAAATGGCAGTAAAAATTACATTACCCCACCTCCTCATGTGTGTGCTTAAGAGTTTCCATTTTGTTAGTACTAAGCTCATGATAGTGGAATTTTTTTGGCAAAAGAAGCTTGTAACAGATGTGCAGGTAACCTTTTTCTTACTTTGCTTTACAGTGAGTGCTTTAGTAAATATTTCAACTTGAAACCTTACTTTGAATGTTACTGGATTCACCTCTTAAGCCATTTACTTAGAGACAATTTTTCCTTCTCCAAGTTGAGTGGGACGTGAAACCGTGTAAACATTTCTGCCAATCTCATTTGTGTAATTAGTGTTTTTTTTTTTCAAAATAATAAATTGTACAATAGTTTAATCAAATCAAATCATGGTGAACTTTCAGATTTCATGATGCAATACACTGTTTTCACACTACTGTTAACTATTAATAACTATTAAGAGCAAGTTTTGGGCGTGAGGTTCAGTCATGTGATATACTTCAGCAATAGCTGACGTTTTACGCTGACGTTTGACTGACTCTCTCTTTGAAATGTCAGTACCTGCCTGTACGTCTGACCCAAATTCATAGCAAACTCATAGCATTGACTGAGCAACTTAAACCATAGATGGCTTAATAGCAAAAGTATTTTATAGGAATCTTAAGCCTTTCTGTTGCATCATACATGTTTTTCCCTCATAAGGTTTCATATTCTTCTCACTAGTGATTGTGGGGAGCTGCAGGAGTTACTGAACCGTTATCAGCCTTGCTTTGTATTCTGCTTTGATTTTTGGTTGTATTGACACCAGGGTGACTCTGTGGCTTTGATAACTGCTTTAGCAGTGGAGCTTGCATCACTTTCTTTTCTTTCCTTTTTTCATTTGCGCTCGTCTCTCCTTTTATCATATCTCCTCTCGGCAGTTTTGAAGCAGGATCTTATCGAGGTATCTAGGAGTGCGGTTTGTACTCCTGCAAATTTCCCCCTTTTTCGTTCAGGTGCCAATCTTTCAAGAGAGAGAACATGTGTTTTAGTTTGATTAGATATTTACTTGACATCCAAGAATCCTTAAATGTAATTAATATTGCTGAGTAACATAAAAACAATCACTAGACTTAAAAAAAAATGTGGTGGTGTTTTTGCGTCATGAAATCACTCCCTTCCATGGGTCGTATCATACTTAACCTATTAGTAAAACTTTAGATAGACTTTGAAAGTTTGAAAACAGGTTTTGCTAGACAGTTTCACTTTCAACCTTTTTTTTCTCCATGCTCTCTTTGTGATAGGAGGATATGAACCTGAACGAGGACAAGAGAGCTCCACTCCGAGAGAAGGACTTGAGTACTAAGAGGGAGATGGTGCTTCAGTACATCGTTACAGCAGCTAAAACTGTAAGTCTGTAAATGATCAAGCACATGCAGAAAGTCACATTCAAAGTGCATTTAGTGATTCAAGTAGAGGGTATCAAAGTATGTGGAGAGTGGTTGTTTTGCTGTTTTTGCTCGAGTTTGGATATGAAATAACACCATGAGAACGGTATTCAAAGAACAGAATCTCAGCTTTCATTTAGTGTTAAATATTCAGTGATTTAGTATTCAGTGATAATTCCAATGGTTTTCGGGCTTGAAAACGAGTGAAAAGTCAGTACTTTCAAGAGGCTGTTTACACCTTGCATCAACATGCGGTTTTGGTGATCGGATCATGTTTAGATTTCACTTGGCTGCATGAAAAGCCAGGTGTAAACAGCCCCAAGACATTTTGTGAAGGGGTTACGATTGGATCACTCAAGGTCATCAGAGATGGGTCTTGACCACATTTAGTACAAGCTTAAATAGAAAGCGTTTTCTTCACTCCTGTGCAAAGAAAATGGGCCAAAATATGATGTTTATTTTGCTGGTGGTTTTGGGCTGGTCGGAGTCACGATTTAAACCCTGTTGAGAATATTTGGTCTCACATTAAACACAAACTAGCTTGGCAATGTTTTTCAAAGGTTTTAAGCCATCAGTGTTGAGTGGAACAATATTGACTTTTCTTTAAAAGGTTGTCTGCAAGTTTAGCTAACAAAAGTTCAACATTTAAAGAAATCAAAAGGAAAACATATTACATACTAAGTTAAGATATTTGTTTAGTGATTTTGTTGTTAAGACAATTAAAAACTTAATGTTTTGCTTTTTTGGTCTTGGCCTGTCCATTTTGCATGAGAGTGTATCTGTATACAGTTACGTAAGTCTTTACTTCTATTTCATGTCTAGAAAGTCCTCTGGACAGTAGTGACACTGACTACTGGAGAAAATACAGCAGCTGCAAGACAAAGCCTTCTCATATGGAGATGTAGACAGTTTGTTACCTGTTTTAGTCTTGTCTAACATTTAACACACTGGTGGTAACAGGTGAAGAAAAAAATGTTTACAGTAGATTACCAGATGTAAAAAAAAGGAAATGGTGTATATGTTAATGTGCTTTTTACACCAGACACAAAACCTATGTTAACTACGTGAATCTAATGATAGAGTGGCCGCTAGGAGGAATGCCAGTTGAATCAGATATTTTGAGTTAATATGGCCAAATTACATATTTGTTACCCAAAATTGTATCAGATTAACTAGAACGCTGTTGGCTGTTGCGAGACTGTGTTGAGCTGCTGGTGAGCAATGAGGGGTGAAAGGGGATAAGTAGGAACCTCCTGCTGTGAAACCTAAATGATGAATGCGCTGAGATAAAACAGTCAGCACAGCTGCAGTTTACTTAATATCAATAAATTGCCACAATAAAAAAAGCAATTCAACACAATAAAAACACTCTAAAAAGCATATATATATTAACTTGCTTTCTCGCCTATGAAGGCAGATATCCAGCTCGCTTCTGGTTTTGTAAATCACACACATTTCCATCAAAGCATATTCCATCAGTGTTATTGAAGAAAAAAATGCATAGCACAAAAACTGAGGGACATAACAGGTGGAAATTGCATTTTATGGCTACTGTGAAAAGGGGTTAAATCTGCTGTTAGAGGAGTTATACTACCTGCATGTCCAGCAGTAAAACCATTTTAGTAATTTTATTGTGTAGAACCGGGCTTTCTATGTGCTACTGTGATTTCTATCACTAAATGAAATATGAAAAATGTTTTCTTATTGGAGGCACCGTGTGCATATGAACTCGTTCAGACCACAGCTCAGATCAGTAAGCGTTTATTATTGATTTATTCTCAGAGAGGAGAGTAAAACATGACTGTAATGGGTGGTTGATATGACAAAAATATTGTATCGCAATACTTAAGATCATGTTAATGACAACATAATATGTATCGCACATAGAGCTGTGATGGTATGGATTTCTTACCATGGTGAAAAAGCAGTGTATCCCCACTGTTTGGCGGTTCACCGCCAATGCCCCCTCGTCCCCCTGCTGACGACAAGCCCCCCGCCCATAACCCAACACCTGCTGCCATTTTTTGATATTTCTATGCCTAAACGGCTAACTTAACGTTAGCTTAGAGAGCAGACTACAGACCCAAACAGTGCAATCACCACAGTACAGGCATGATTCTGAATAACTGCTGCTCTGCTGACACAAGTTTAGATGATAAACTAAAGTCTGACTAATGTCAGAGCTAAAGTCAGATGAGTGACAAAGCCAAAATTGTGCCTGATCTGTGGTGCTGTCACCTTGGTACTTTCTTCTCTCGCACAGGCCATAGAGACTCCCAACTGTTGCTGCTGGCCTGAGGTTGTATCTCCTCCTGAGGCAGGTTTGCTGCTGCCAATTCTGGTGTTGCATCCGATTTGCTACGTGATTTGTAAAGGGTAACGTGAATTTGAGGGTAACTTTGTCAGATGCAGCACCGGTGAACACCGCAGGATGGTTAATTCTAAAATGTGATATTTAATTAGACGTATTTCTTCCTGCTCTTGTCGTCTGGCTCAAAGCCAAAATATGCCTGAGTTTTTGACATAATAATTGGCTTAGGAACTAGATTTGTGGCCATTGTTGAATAGAATAATGTCAACTGGTTATCGTCAACTGTATGGGCAAAACCACATAAGAGAAGTGTGTTCACTATAAGCACTTGCAGTTAAAATCCAACTGTTATGCGTCTTTCTTTAATGTCTGTGTATTTTATGTGTGGGTATTTATTCAAATGAATGTTACCTGTAGATATAACAACTACTTAAGCCTTGAAATAATTAATGATAATCAGGGACTGTCCCTCTCCTTTGTGCTTAAAGCTGAAGTGACCAGCAACTGAAGTTTTGTTTCTCCAGAATCCCTTAAACATAGAATTGAAGGCAGTCAATGATGATAACTAAACAATGATTAGTGTGTTTATATTTCATATCACACACCATATGCACACCAGTAACTTTTACCAGCAAAAAAAATAAAAATATAACGACAACAGAAACAATTGCAGGGATGACCATAATGAACTCAACCTCACAGTAGGCATCACATTTATATAACACACATGTAACTTTCACCAGCAAAACAAATGAAATACGAAAAGAAATATTGTGGGGATGCCTGTAATGAGCTCAACCCTGCAGTAGGCCTTACATAACTAGGGTATTGTGGTAATGCGATTATCATCACAGCCCTAAGCACAATAATTTCACAAATATACACAGTGCACTAGTAGTGCCGCATGTAAAAACTGACATCAAAACTTGAGTACGTAGGTGCAGTGATTTTTATTCAGTTTTTCACGTTGTACTGCACTAAGTCAGTAAAAAAGGACTATGCCCTTTTTTAAATGAAACATGCATTTGCTCAGTGTGCTTTAAGAATGAAAGATATCCACAGTATGCACAGAAAAGCATACTGTCACAATAAAACTTTGTCACTATAACTATAAACTATATTGTCAGATTGCTCAGCTCTGTTGTGAATTATGTTACCATTCATGTGATTTCTTGTTCAAAATGAGATTGTGACACAAACTAAATAAAAGTGTCCAACTTTGTTAGATCACGTTCTTTGCATATCAAATAAGTTCATTCAGAAATCGCGTTATTATCGGAAAAGAGTAGATAAAATGACAGAAATTTTATCGTAACCCCAGACTTAATGTGTAAACAGCCTCTAATGCTAATGTGTGTTTGACAGACCAAATTCTAGCTCATGTAGCTGGTATACTATACCCTAAATATGTTCGTCAATTTCTGTAACAGCTCAGATATGTAGCCATTCAACCTTTGTTTGCTTCTTTTCAGATACATGCTACTGTGTGTATCCGGGCTGCTGTGTGTCTTTGTTGTGCGTCTGTATGTGTGTGTGTGTGTGTGTAAGTCATTTAGAGCCGTTTGTGGGTGTGCTATGATATAAATATCTGTAACTACAGACCTCTCATATGAGGACATTGACAGGCTAAAGACTGTACTTATCTTTGATGATTAGCCCTATTTTAGGGAAGGTCTTTTGTTTCAGTATTTCAGGGTGAAATGGAGGCGTGGAACCACTAAGTGCTCACAACCTCTGTGGTTGTGACAGGTGGATTTTACATCATCTCATAATATGTACTGAAACTGCTTTTCATGACACTCGAGGCTGTATGAGGATGAGGATTCTAGGCCTGAGAATGAAGTAAATACTATATATCAGTATAAAAGCTTTACAAACTGCCTTACTGAAACAGGACTGTACTTTTTGAGCATGTCGTGCTGGTGCTATGAAATCTGCAAATTTTTGTAGCAGTAGTTAAAATATTAACAAAATAAAAACTACATAAGTATACTTCTAAGAAGTGTGAATTGCATTTAAACAACATCCCAAATAAACAACAAGGGGCCACTGTTAGTATTGTTAGTATTGTTCCATCATTGGAAGAGGCTCAACTTTATTTAATGTGTCAGTTTTAACTTGATGAGCTTATTATAAAAAGAGACACTTCCTTAAGGTATCAATGGCTAAGGATATTATGGATTTTGATTAGTGTTTTTGAATACCGCCAAATTGGGCTATTTTTATCAAGGTACAGTATTAGCATTCAAGTACATTGTACAATTGCAACACAGAATAAAAATAATAAATTGGCTGGTTGCTTATTTGGAGCAAATATCTGCCGATTTCATCATGCACCACTAATGTTTTTCTTAATCCATAATAAACAGAGACAATATCAGGTTGATTTGAGAGGAACTGGTGCCAACACTGGTGACTTGAGTTTAATATAGGTTTTGAAAGAGTATTGTATGTTTATTGTAATGTATAGTAGTCTATTAATTTCAGCTGCTGTGGTTTCCAAGAATGATGCATTAGAAGACTTTGATTTACTAGTTTACCAGTTTAAGGTGTCCAGCAGTATTATTTAGGGTTGGGAAAAAAAGTCAGTCTGCGAGCTCTTCAGCTGTAAAGTGTTTGTGGACTTCATTCCTAGCTCTGTGTATGGCAA